TCTGCAGAAATCCAACGAAAGCAACGGATCACATCGTCGGATCTTCGGAAGGCAGGGGCGTTTTTGTTTGGAGTTGTGATTAGTTGATTGTCCGGCTGCGGGTGCTCCTCGAAGGCCTTCAATAAAATCAATAAAACGAAGAAGAACCAGCTCAAGGGCGTCTTCAAAGTTTCCTCGCAAGTGAGGCCGTGTTCTCCCGTTGAATCCGTTGAACTATTGGTCTATTGTTGTTGACTTTGTGATGTGCGTCACAGGACTTCATTGTTCTGAGCTGCCGTCGAGAAGTCGATCTGGTGAAGCTGAAAAAGAGACTTGATCGACTTGCAAACTTGTGTGTGGTGTAGGGTAAGCTTCACATTGAGACACAGACTTCTTGTCATTATAATTAATCGCAGACACATGTATAGTCATAATCACGTCACGAATCACGTCTAACGGAAGTCCATATTCAAACGCTTTAAGCCACACTTGTGTTCAATCGTTTTCACCTCTAAAGTTCATTTCGTACAGTGCAAAGCATGACCTGACACTATCATGAGCGATCTTGTGGCACACTGTTTCATGTACTTGTTCATGTGTGTGTCTTGAAAATTATGTTCGTGCGACATTTTGGTTCTATAAGTTGTGCTTGCTGGTGGAAAGTCTTATCACAAAAATGCGTGTCAGGTTCACGTGTTGAAGGGCCGAACGATGTTGTCATAAGCCGTTTTGGGAGTATGTTCCCACAACAGGTCAGCATGTCCATGTTGCAAGACAGCATTTCTAGATCCTTCGCTCCAGGCGGCGGTGTATGGATTCGAGCCCTCGTGTTTTGGGGACTCAGAACACAGGGAATCGTGCTGCAAGTGCAAACCTTTATTCTATACAAAAAATTTTTCGAATTTTCCGATTGAGAACAATCTTGGCTCCAGAGCCAGTCAGTAGATCCCAAAGAGGGATTCGGCAAATTTCTTGTGGCCAAAGCGGCGGGAATAGAAGGGGAGGGAGCGGGCGCCTCAAGGAAGGCCCATGTTTGGCTGTCTCTTCAGAGCGCAGAGCAGAAAAACTTCCGAATGGCATACGCCCCTCAGGCCAATTTTGTTTGATCAGGTGGCGCCGTGCGTGAGCCAAGTTAAGACCGACAGCATGACTTGCTATATGATGTTGTTGTGCCGAAGTTCCTGGACAGAGACTACTTGTTGTCCAAGTTAGCTGGGTTGCGTGACCCCCCCGTCCCGATGGAGCTCCTTTCCTGCTTGCAGCATGCTTCGGGTGGATTTATCCAGGATGGCCTTGTTTTGCAACACCGCTTTCGGCACAGCTTGACAGGAAGAACCTTTCCAGCAAGTGAACGTGAAGAGGAGCTCACTAAGGGCCTTGCTTACAGCCTTCTTGGCCAGTGGAATCAGGGGAGGGATGTTTTCCTCAACTGGATGACCTCCTTCTCCCGACCTCCCTCCAGGTTTTCGAAACCAGTGCTCCTTCAAGGAGGTCAACTTCCAACCTCGCATCCGTTTAAATCGGTAACATTTTCCGAAAAAACTTCTGCAAAGCAGAAATCAGTTCAGCTCAAGACCAGAGGAGTGCAAGACCCTTCGTGGGCGCATATTCCAATCGCTGAAGAGTGTAGAGTTCCTGGAGGTCATGCGCAAGGGCATAGAGTATCATTGCACCGTACAGTCTTGACGTACAGCAACCTTAGGTATCAAGACGTGGATTGACGATCTGGTACAGTCCAAGGGAAGGGGCATAGCTTCGGTCCTGGCAGTTCATGCCGAACAGGTAGGCCGCTGATTCGGAAGACAGTCATGCCAACTTTGGAACCAGCGCTCACAAGCTTCAGCAACCCACAGCTGGTGGAGGAGCCTGTGCAAAGCAGTCCGACTTGGAGTAGCACCATAGATAACAAGCCTTTTCGTTTCTGCAGTACACCGGATCATTAGTTGCATCCTAACCCAACACTACCTCGTTGTCGTTGCTCGATTTTGTCTGGCTTAACTTCAGCCTTCCCAGTAAAGCTATGGGGGAACTTGTTGAGTGTTGGAGAACAAGGCACAGCTCTCAAACAGTGATTGTTTTTGGCGCATGAAGCCTTGCGGTAGTTCACATCCGGGTGTTTGTGCAGATGCGGCCCTCCGGACTTTACATGATTCTTTTCGTCTTCCGGAGCCGTTTGCATTTACCAGGTGGGAGTCGAGGCGTAGGGACGGGCATTGCTGTTCACACGCGGTGGATTCAGCAATGGTCTTCGAGGCAAGATTCGGGTCTAGCTTGGTTTCGGATTCGATCGCAGCTGTACAGTTCCACGGTCCTCGGTGCCGGATGCTGCCTCCCTGAAAGCAGCTGCATCCGGATTCCAGCTATCAAGTGGGTTGCCACTTCAAGTTGTCACGTGCAGGCATTCTCTCTTCCAACGGCTTCGAAGGCGCGCCAGCTGTGTGAGAGCAAGGCTACAGTAGACGTCCGGCAGAACTGTGGATGGTTGCAACATGGATCCCAAAAGTCGTGAAGAAGTCAGTAGAAGAGCGCCTTACCCACAGCACGAGTAGCTCCACTGCATGGTGCATGGTGCCCTCTTGTCAACCGAAGAGTTTGTTCGCATCCTGGACCTTGTCTTGGCCAGCAGGTGCGTCTGCCCTCGGCCGCCACCGGAGTTTCGATTTTGACGCAGCCCAAGGCACCTTGCTGGTGTGGGAGTCAAGCATTTCTGAGTCTGAATGATGTCCATCGTGAGCCTCCCTCTGCAGCCGCAGTAAGGCCCGGAGGTTGGAGAGAGCGATTGATCCTCGGAGTCTCTCGGCCAAGCAACTGTCGGTAAAGCGTAGCGGATTGACAGCCAGCCGCTGCTTGCTGGTCGACATGCCCTTAAGCAGCTTGTCCGTTTTTGGGTCCGAGCTTGCGGCTCTACAGTCTAGGTCTAAGTCGAGACCCTGCAAACTGCACCTTTCAACCCTGAACCTTTAACCGGGAGACTCCCTGAACCCTCAGCCACGAACGATAGAAGCAAATCATCATCACACTATTAGTGCTCCTTACAGCACTCCCTTATAGCAACTACTCTCTTTACTACTCCCTAATAGTGATCCCTCGTTGTTATGAACCCCAGCAACGCCCTGAGCGAAAGGACCCGCTCTCCTCGCGGACGCTCGCCTCTCCTCTGCGGTCTCCTCGGCTTTTCTCGGAAAGTCCCTTCCCTGTTGGCTGCTGCGGTGGCTTTGGATCCTAGGCTCTAAATATGCAAGCAAGCTCGTCTAAGGAACCCTGAGCCCCAAATCTACGCGTCTCAGGGGGCCTGCAGCATCTGCAGCTTGACCTAAGGGCTTGGAAGCTGGCAGAAGAGTGGCTTTGTGAGGACAGGTAGGCTACCTAGTGACTTCAACTTGATCCCTCGGCAGGCACTGCTGGGACTTTGCTCGCGAAATGCACGTCCGGCAGATCCAAAAACAAGAAGACTGACGGGGTGAGTGGTGTTCGGAAGGTGTCAACTTCAGGGGCCAGAAGTGCAGTGAGAGGAGTACTTGTATTTAGAAGCCAAGAGCCCAAGTCTCAATATGTTTCATCTCATCCTGAAAGCCTTGAGCCCCTACAAAACTCTGAAGGCCCTAAACCCTAAACCCTAACCCCAAAAAATACGAAACTCGGAAGTAGTGAGGCTGAGCGTCCTGCTCGGGGCAAGCGCGGGCTGCCACGCAGCCGTCTCCAAGCGGGGTAAGGCCAGGCAGACCTTCGCCGCTCTTTTTTAACCTACCGGTGGGTCTGGATGGCCACACCTGTTTAGGGTTTAGGGGTTTAGGGTTTAGGCGTTTAGGGTTTAGGGTTTTAAGGTTATCTACATGCATCAGTGTTTCTTGACTGCTGTTGAATGTGCCGGGAAAGAGAAGCCTCGGCCATTGTGGGGTTGTGGGGAGGTGGCACGCCGCCAGCGTGGCCCTGCCACGGGCTCGGGCTTGCGTCAGGCCAGCTTTGTGCTTCAGCGGGCCTTCTTCGTGACTGCGTAGAACAGACTCATTCCGAGAAGTACAATGCTGAAGAGGTTGAGGATCAGACCAGGGGCTTGCGCTCCCAAGCACCCTAGAAACAAGCATCAAAGAAGAGGTGAACCGTGACAGCCTGCTGAGGACCGTGGGATGGGCCCGACAGTTCCCATCGCCTCGGTCGCGTCCCAAGTTTTCGTTACCATGACCACTGCCTTCTGCAATCTACAGGGTTCTAGGGTTCTAGGGTTTCGGGGTTTAGGGTTTAGGGGTTTAGGGGCTTCGGGTATAGGGTGCATCTAGTGTGATCATTGCCACCATCACATCTACAACAGTTCAACAGTCAGATGATGTCAAGAAACACCAATATGATCATCACGAGCGAAGCCATGATCATTCAGTTCCGTCTCCTGCCGCGGAAACCCTAGGGCCGAACACATAATATTTAGTACAACACTAACTATATCAACAATAATAACAATAAAAAGTAAATAACATAATTTAACATAATAATATCAGTAATTAAGAATAAGAATAATAGTAATAATAGTAATACTAATGATAATAATGATAATAATAATAATAACAATAATAATAATAATAACAATAGTAATAATAGTAAGCAATAATAGTCATAATCATAATAGCAATTGTGATCATAGCAATAGTCTAATCATAATGATAATAATAATAATAATCATAATCATAGTCATTGTCGTAATAAGCCATTACAACTTTTTTTACGACGATATGAAAGCCCCGAAGCGACACCTCCTCAAGGACATTGAGATCGACGCGACAGAAGCGCCCAGCGGAGCCAAGGCTCTGGGAGTTTTTAATCGAATGGGGCTCTGGGGTGAGTCTGGAGCAGAGTCTAGACGGACGGACGAGTACGGGTTTGGAGTAGGGATGGAAATTTCAAGGGTGTCGGCTTTAAGTGATTTGTAAGGTTTGTGCACGGCAGATGCGATGGCATGCAATTTGGCTTATGCGGTGCACACACCTTCGCAAGGACATTGAGATCGACGCGACGGAAGCGCCCGGCGGAGTCAAGGCTCTGGGAGTTTTTTTCGACTGGGGCTCTGGGGCGAGTATGGAGCAGAGTCTAGACGGACGGACGAGTGCGGGTTTGGAGTATGTGGGTTTAAATTTTCATGTCAGACTCCAGCTTGAATTTTCATCACGGTATTGGTGCCCGCAAGCATTCAAACCTGAACAGAGGACCCAGATTCCGAAGCGGAGCACTTTCACAGTAAGCGCAGCTGGAGACGAAGTCTTGTACTTTCTCGCTCTGGGTCTTTGCAGGACGAAGGAACGGGTACTTCGCTCTCATCTCAGGCGGGCTGGGCTGGGCGGCTTGAGACTCGCAGCAATGTTTCGCAAGCACCGTCTGTGTGCTGAGCAATGTAGGGGAGCGTGGAAAAAACATCCGCACGGATGTCAGGTGACCAGCATCTGCAAGGAGCTGGGCATCCCGCTGCGGGGCCCGAATCCAGGCGCAGAGGAGTTGGGCCAGGCATGCGAAGCCCTGGGCCTGAAGTCGGATCTTCCCATGTGGGACTGCATCAAGCAGTGCAGGGAGAAGATCGGCCAAGGCACCGTGCTCCCCATGCTCCTCCAGGAGAAGTTGAAGCTGGTGCATGGAGCACTTCCTTCAAGCAAGCCGGAAACGGAGTGGCACTGTACAGCGGAGTCGTTGAAGGAGGCTGCCGAGATGTGCGGAATCTCCATTGGATGGTTCACCCGGGACAACTGGCATACAGTCATGGACCTGTGCCTTGAGTTTCTTGGGAAGGCCGGATGCCTGCGAACCTTGATCTGCAAATTCGCAAAGCCTGCTGCACCAGTTTTTCCTGCGAGGCAGACAAGGAAAAGCAGACCGAGCTTGCCCCCGAGGCCTTCAAAAAATCATCAACGGGGTCCGGAGAGCCTAGAGATGTGCAGCAGGTGTTGTAGAGCCAACAGTGGAATCCAAGCTAGCAGCTAGCAGCTAGCAGCATCTAGTAGCGACGAGAGCATCAGGTGCAGATCCTTCGCGACGAGCTGCAGATTCGGAGCGAGGAACACGTGTGGCATTCTTGGGAAGCCTTTCAAGGCGAGCCGCGGTACCACGCCACGCTGCACTACGCAGGCTGAAGAGCTCAAGAGGCTTGTGGGCAGTGCCCTGTCTTCTTTGGAGAGGAGCAGTGCTTTCAGGCTTCCTTTGATGAAGAAGGTCGAGGTGCTCGAGCAGTGGTCTGGCTTACAGGTAGCCGGTGGCAAGACCCTCCCCGAACGCTTGGCGCAAGTTCGCAAGAAGGTGGGGCGAAAGGAAGACACGCCCACCTTGCATCAGCAGGCCGACCGATGCCTGGCTCAATCAGCCGCTGCTGGAATAGAAGTGGAGGAGCAGAAGTTTCGGGCGGAGTGCAACGAGTTCGAAGGCAAGTTTCAGGCGGACAGTCAGCTCACGGACTGGCTCTTGAAGTTGGAGGTACTCCACGAGAAGTACAAGCATGCCGGATGGCAGGAGTCCTTCAAACGAGTCCGGAGCCGTTTCATGGAAGTCTTTAAGAACATAATCGAGGAGCTCATCTATGCAACCAAGGAATCCTCCTGTGAAGACTTCTTTGAAAAGCTCGCCGCTGCTTTGTCCATGTCGGGTGCAGCGAGCGGAGCCAGCGAGACCAAAGGCAGCGGCTGGCCTCGTAAAGAACTTCGACAACAGCGCCAGCGGCTTTGCCAAGCTTTGAATGATGCCCATCGTGTTCTGGGTAGCCAGGATGCTGCTGCAGCATCTGGGAACGCCACGCATCTCTATCGTGCAATCAAGGCTGCTGCAGACAGACAACCGGCTTTGCAGGGTCTGTTGAAGGGTCTACGTTTCGACTATGAGGAGGAGTTGAAGAAGCATGACAAGGACGGGGCCCGTAATGCAACTCAGCCACGAGGGTGTTGCACAGCGTGCGTTGCACCATCGAGTAGATGTGTTGCGTCGGGCTTCGTTTCCAATTCCTCTTCGCTGTTCCATGGCAGGATCAGGCCTGGCTGGAGGAGCAGGTTGAGAAGGTGGCCATGGCTGGAGAGAGCATCACGCAAGCGCTGAGGGAGGACCGCACAGGGGACGTGGAGGTCCACTGGGATGGCTTCTGGAAGTTGACGGAAGACAGTCCGGAGCCGGCCTTCGACCAGATGGAGGCAGTTCTTGACGCTCTGCTAGAGTACATGCGGAGCAAGCGCTGCCGCCTCGACGAGCACGTTGACAAGGTGGAGCTGAAGGAGGCTGCGGACTGCTTGCAGCAGCTTGAGCAGGTGAGTGGGCTCCTTGATGGAGGCTGGAGGCGCAAGCTGGAGTGCCTCGGGCCGCGCTTGACCAGACCCTTAGAGAAAGCGGCCCAGATCCCGCCCGAGCTGGCGAAGTTGGAGCATTTGCGCGACGAGCTTGTCCCTAAGGCCAGGAACATCTTGCGCAGCAGAGTCGAGGAGTGGATGAGATCAGGCTCAGACCAGTACTCCGACCTAGCTCATCTCTTTGATCAGTTTGACCACCTTGCCAGCCTCGGTACGAAGCGCACCTCCAACAAGCTCTCACCGACATGGTGCAAGAAGGTGGTGGAGAGGCAACGCCAACTGGAAGTTGAGGCCGGATTGTCGTGGGAAGACGGAGAGGTGCCTTTCAAGGTTTTGAGGGAGCTTGTGTCCATGGAGGAGAGTCTTGGAAACCACATCCCAGAGCTTGGAAGCAAGCGTGCTGAATGGAAGAACTCAGTGAAGAAGGTGATCACAAGGTACGGCGAACTAGCCGACGACAGCTTGGGGAAGTGGCGCAAGGACAAGACAGGCGAAACCGTGATCGTGGACCTTGCCAAAGCTCTCACCAAGTTGACCCAAATCAATCTGAACCTTCCTCGGAGTGCTTTCGACATTGCCATGCAGGACGCAAAGATGAAGGTCAAAACGATCTTGGAGGCGTGCTCAGCATGTCCCCGGTTCTACGTCTTGATTTGCAAGCTGGGTGAAGCCCTGCAGAGCGAGGGCCTGGCAACGGAGGACAGAACAACCGGCGCATGGATTTTCAAGAATTACCCGCAGTTCCGCGAGTGGCGAACAAGAGACTTCAATCAGAGGGCCATGACAAAGCCGAAGGCGGACATCCTGAAGGAGTGGAGCCTGCCCGAGGCTGACAAAAAGGCCCTCGACACAGGCATCTTGGATGCAATGAGAGGCTCCGTGAACTAGCCGTGAGATGCTGGAAGCTGCCGGCATGTGAATCGCAGAAGTGACCCAGCCGAGGATACGACATGTACCAGACGGTCCACGATGAGATCTTAGATCGCTGGGAGGGTGGAGCTTCACTTGAAGAGCTTGCAGAAGAAACCATCGCACTGGCCCGCAGCATGCCATCGAGCTCTGCTAAATGGACAGCGTCATCAACGCAGCAGTTGTGTGAACTTCTGGGTCATGCTTTGAGCTCAGGGGGTCAAAAATAACACGCATACCTCTGAACTCCTCTGCATGTCGATTTTGCATGCTTTTCCGTTCGCGCGGCTGTGGCTCCAGCCGAGGTCTCTGCGATGTACAGCATGACTACGTGCGGTGATGCATACAAGCACTTCAAGGAAAATCCCGAGGCAGCCTCTGATGGACAGGTGGAGGGCCGGCAGCTACTGAAGCGACTGCATCCGAGTCAGGTGTTCGCCTGCCTTCGCTTGCTTGGCTGTAGCAGTGCAGGAGAACTTCGCAGCCATCTGATGCAGGTGAGCACTGGCGAGGGCAAGTCCATTATTCTTGGTTGCCTTGCATGCGTGCTCGGCCTGCTCGGGAAGAAAGTGAGTGTAGTCTGCTACTCCCCGTACTTGAGCCAGCGGGATCAACAGGAATTTCTCCCGCTCTTCGAGTGCTTTCAACTGCAAGACGCCGTAAGCTACGACACGATCATCGGCTATGTTGAGAAGAAGGTTCCTGACATGCGCGGGCACACAGAAAGCCTTCTGTCCAGGGAGGAGTGCAGTGACAGAGCTTTGCCCGAAAGAAGTTCAGAGGACTCTGAGGAAGTCTTGCTTGTGGATGAGGTGGACGTGTTCTTCGGTGAGGGCTTCCTTGGTGATACCTTCAACCAAGTTGCCCAGGTGGAGGCCTACGACCTGCTGAAGCGTGTGTGGGATCTGAAAGACCGCGACCCGAGCCGCTTGTTGGAAGAGCTGAAGAAGAGCGCGGAGTATGCCAGCCTGAAGCAGCGGCTGGGCTCACAGTGGGATTTCGTGCTCAAGGGCGAGGTTGAACGGATGTGTGCGCAGCTTCAGGAGTTTCAGACTTCCGGTCAGCCTCAACCCTGCCATTTCGACGAAGACGAACAGAGGATTGGCTATCTCCAAGATGACACCGTAAACTATGACGTTTCGTTTGGCTACATGACTATTTTTGAATACCTGCGACTTAATCAACAGGGGCGGCTCAGCGACGAGTCGCTGAAGAAAGTCTTGAAGCTTCAGGTCCTCTGTGCTCGGTATTCCTATGCGAATTTTGATCTTCCCAACACCATCCTCGGTGTCTCCGGCACAGTGGGTGATTTGACCGCTGACTGGTGCAACATTCTGCAAGAAACGTTCGGCGTTGATCCCCACGAGCACAGCCTCATGCCGTCCGTTTTCGGAGAGTCAAATCTGCTGTTCTTGGACGGCACTGACCGGCCGATCCTGATCTGCGATGGCAATGACCTTCACCTGGAGATTGCCAAGGCCATCATCAAACAGCTGGACGAGGGTCGGGCGGTGCTGGTCTTCTTTGAAGATCAGAATGCTCTTGATACTTTCTTCAATTCTGAGCAATGCCGACAGCTTCGCTCGAAACTAGAGTGCCTGAGTGAGCTGACCTGCGCGGATGATCGGACCAGAATCGTCTTCCATGCTGCGACTAAGGGGCACGTGACTCTCTGCAGTTCTGCTTTCGGCCGTGGAACAGACTTTATCAGCTCTGATTCGCAGCTCATCGAGAACGGTGGCGTGCATGTGATCCAGACGTTTTTCTCTGTAGATAAGGCTGAGGAGACGCAAGTCAAGGGCCGCACCGCAAGGCAGGGTCAGCCGGGAAGCTACTCCATGATCCTTAGCAAGCAGGGCCTGGAGAAGCAAGGGATGGAAAGCATACCGCAAGGATCTCCGTCCGAGATTTACGAGGCTTTTGAGAAGTTCCGGGAGCAGCAAGGACGGGAGTGGAAGGTGCAGATGGACCTAAAGCTACAGAGTGCGAAACGGTGGCACCAAAAGACGCACGATTATGCCGTGGCGACTGGGAAGTCTGGAAGCGCGAAGGCCTTCAGGGCGCTGTACACAGCATCGGTCGGGAGCTGCCTGCCCGCAAGAGTTGTTGTTCGTAGCAAAGACATTTAGAGTCTAGAGGTGTAGTGGATGGTTGACATATCTGGAACTCTGGATGCGTGAGCTACAGATCTTGCTTCCATATATGCACATATTGGGGGATTTCTTGCTTGGGGTGCAGCTCCACTGCAGGTGGACAGCGCAGGCGAATCGTTTTCGTCTGTGATGCTACCGGATCTATGTGCCGCTTTTGGGCCGGAGCTCGTCAAGCGATCGGAACGGCCTTGTCGCGCCTCGAACAGATCGGTGGCGACTACGACTTCATGTGGATTGCCTACAGGGACTACTGTGATGAAGACCTGATGGAGAAGAGCTGTTGGACTCGTGACGCCGACGAGTTGAAGAGGTTCATGGATGGTATCATTTGCTACGGGGGAGGACGTTTGACATTGGGGGAGGCCCTGGAGGTGGGGTTAGAACAAGCCAGGATCGAGCATGAGAAAGATCCCATCTCAGGGGTCATCGTGGTGGGCGACGAACCGGCCAGAGACGAGGTCACGGAGGAGGAGGACTTTGTGCAAGAGATGCAAACCGACTTCCGCTCGGAGTCGCAGAAGCTCCGTGACCAAGGCATCCCTGTTTACAGCTTCAGGGCACCGCGGCTTCCCGTGATAAAGCTTTTCTTGTGTTAGTGTAGAAGCGTGGCCTACGAGATGTTCCTGAGCCTAGGTGGGCGACTGCCGTGCAACGAAGAGGACCTTCGAGACCATTGCGGAGATGACCGGCGGGGAGTTCCATGACCTGAACACGCAGAGCGACAGCTTGGTGCAGGCGATCTGCACTTTCTCCTTGACGGCGGCGGGTGACGCGGAGCTGCTGGCTGAGTACAAAAAGCGCTATGAGAGTTGAGGCGAGCGTTGCGCCCAACGAGCCTGGCATGCAGCATCTTGCACGGATGTCTAGTGCTCGAAAACCTCCTCCGGCGCTAAGTCGCTGCAGGAGGAAGGTTCACAATCTGCCGAGGCGGCGATCTGCTAGGTTAGGATGCTGAGGGTGGTACTCTCGCGGATAACTTTTTGATTATCACAGGCTTGTGTACCGGACCTGGAAGGACGAATGGGGCAGCGGTTAAGAAAAGGCTTTGGTCCGCCATTTGCTTTCGCCACTCTAGATGTCTGGTGATTTGTCAAAACATGCAGATGCTTGAGGCCGCACGTAAGGCTCGCCCCAGCCTGTCAGCTTCCAAAAGGGTTGGCATTCCTCGTGCAGATGGGTTGCAAGAAAGACTCGGAGGCCGCAGGCTTGGGGCTCTTCTGGTCCCAAAGTGCTGCAATGATAGCATCATGTAGTATCACATGAGCTCGTGTGCACGTGGATGTACTCTTTCTCAGTCGTTCGGTGCAAGTACTCAGTATACATTCGTGCCACGAAATCCTGCGAGTGCTGCAATGCCTCCAGAGGAGGAGGTGCGTCGCTTCGAGGAATCCCGAACCACCGCGCGCACGCTGCGTTGCCTTTTTTGGGCTCCCAGCTTTTGACGGGCCGAGGGGGCCCTTCGTTCCAAACGGGGGCGAACGACCTTCCCGGCCACGGCCCTGCCAAGGCCAAGGGCTCAGCGTGTGCCGGTCTCTTTAGAAGTATAGGCATCGTCTCTCTTTTTCTCCCTCTGCGCAAGGCGGGATGCTCGTCGCAATGCGCGGAGAGCTCAGAACATCTCAGAACTTTGCATCTGGAGAGTGGGGAAGAAGCCTTGCCGGCCGCCGCAGAGCGCAGGCCCGTCGCCCTGGGCGGCTACAGCAGCTATGCAAAGTCCAGGCACCGAGAGCCATCGCAGTCGCAGTGGGTTGAGGGCTCCGGGTCTTGCTAGGGCTTTCAAAGTCTATACCGTCTTAGGTTTCGAAGCGCATCCCTGGCAGACAGCGGCTTTCCCGTGAGAGGCAGACGACCATCCTTTGCTTGTTGAGCTTGCAGACCGTCGTCATCCTTTACTGCCACTGCCACTGCCACTATCACTTCCACTACCGTTACTACCACTGCAACTAGGACTAGTACTAGTACTAGTACTAGTAGCAGCAGTAGTAGTAGTAGTAGTAGTAGTACTACTACTACTACCACCACTACTACCGCTACCACCACTACTACTACTACTACTACTACTACTACTGCTGCTCCTACTACTACTGCTACTACTACTACTACTACTACAACTACTACTACTACTACTACTACTACTACTGCTGCTCCTACTGCT